TTTTAGTTTTTCATATTACCCCAACATTTCGCTTTCCGATACTGAAAACCGCACCTTTTTAGCTGCTTCTTAGAAAAAGTTATCAAAGAAATGGCCGTGCTTCTTCTTTTTTGAAATGGATAGTAGTCATTGCACTTTTTCAGAGAGTGTGTGTAAATCGAATATCGATCTGATTGGTCCTCAGCTATGATAACTCTAATATAGAATGCGCGACTTGACTCGGCATCTATGTATGCTCTGCTCGAACATGTTTCGGTCTCAATAACAAGGGAAAACGAATCATGAACTGGTATTGAATGTTTACAACAAAAAATCTGCTTTCCTCTGTATTAAGAACCTTAGATAGTAGCGCCACATTATCCCAGAAAGATTTCAAACTGTCCGTTATATTCGTGTTCTTGCATATTTCGTTTAGCCATATTTTAGTAAGAATAGCTTGTATTATTTGTCTGGAAAATAGAAGGCTTTTGATACTCGGCTATCCCATAATTGGCTACTTAATTGGAAAATAAAATACATTTACATGACGTATCGAACAAAGAAAAGGGCAGAAAGCACTAAAAACAATGTCTTGCGTAAGTGTGCGCATGGCTTCGTGCCTGTTTGCACGCGGGATTAGTGAATCGATGATATGAATAAATAATTTTTATGTATTTTAGTTAATATGTTCTGTATCTTGGCGCTGTTATTTATTTCTCTTAGTCTGTTTTTGAACAATTACTTAAAATGAAATAAGGAAAAAATTTCTGTTATTTTAGATTTTAACAGCCTCTGTTTTCGTGTTTATTAATTAACAAAACGGCATAGGAAAAAAATCAAAACCGAATATCAAAATGGACGAGCAAACATTTATAATTACACTACAAAATTGTCTGGATGCCGATAATGAAAAACGACAAGCAGCCGAAGTAAGATTTAAAGCCAAGAAGTAAACATTGACTGCGTTCCAGCAAAGAAAAAAAAGAATAGATGAGGGGCACAGGATTTTTTCTAAATAAGGTTAAGTTACTTTCGAATCATATCCCGGATAATAACACTTCAAGAGAAAACAGATTGATTTTCATGTAAAATTATTAATGGTAGGATATTCTTGCTCATTAAATACTAGTTTGCTAATGAGAGATTACTTTTCAACAGACAAACAAAACATTTTTCTGATGAGTCCGTGATTGTTCATTTCATGAGTGCGGTAATATGACACTTTCTTTAACAAGGTTTTCCCCATTTAGGATGAATATCACAAAATTCCCGATGAACAGAAAACCATATTATTGATGAGTGCATTACGTAATGGACAATTTAGTCCAGCGGTAAATATGCGTACGAAAAATTTTGGAAAAAAGAGAAACTAGACAAGACATTTTTTGTTTTAGATTCGCGCATTTGCTGCTGTAATGTTACGACGTCTATTTTCCACAACATTTGAAACATTTTGGCCTAAATTTAGTCAGGAACAACAGTCGGCATTGAAAAAAGAATTATTATTAAGAATTAGTCAAGTTGATGATGATGAAACGATTAGAAAAAAAGTTTGCAATATCGTGGCAGAATTAGCAAAAAACTTAATGGGTTAGCATACGTGAATACTTTCTCATCAATGTTTCCTTATGAATAACTTATTTCATTTTCTACGGTATAGATGATAACGAAGTAAATCAGTGGCCAGAAGTTTTACAATTTTTATTTGAAAGCGCTAATTCCAACCATAATTCATTGAAAGAATCAGCATTAGTCATATTCGAGTAAGTTGTTACTCTAAATTACTATCGTATATATTTTAAATTGTCTCTTTTTAGAGCTTTCCCTGGCATATTCGGTAGTCAAGCTGAACAATTAACAACGATTATTCATCAAATATTTTTAAGTTGTTTGAATAATCCTGATGTAAAAGTACGTTTTGAAGAAAAATATTTACCTTTTATGAGTATCTATCTACTCATTTAGGTACGTTATACGGCTGCGACTGCTTTGGCCGCTTTTCTCAAGCATAATAATGAAGATAATCGAATATTGAATGTTTATAGAGATTGTTTACCATGTCTAATAGCGGTAAGAAGCCATATATATATATATGTGTCTGCATTGTGCATATTTCATCTTTGTGTTATTGTTTTAGACTGTTACTCATAGTTTACAAAATTCGGATGACGATGTAGTTTTAAAAGCTTTAATCGATATAGCAGAGAATTCGGCGAAATTTCTACGACCATCTATTGATGAAATATTTGAATTATGTTTACAAGTATGTTTTTCTCTAATGTGAATTAATTTTTTACTGTAAAAGGAACTAAATTTCAAGTAATATTTATTTAGTCTATGCAAAATGAAAATTTTGAGGAAGCACGTCGTCATTTAGCATTGGAAGTACTCGTTACTTTATCGGAAACAGCCAGTGGAATGGTACGAAAAGTAGCAAGAAAATTTATGGGTCGTCTAGGTAAACCAAATATATTAATGAGAATAAAATAGATGAACTTGACAATAATACATGCAATATTTTTTCTTGTTTAGTTCCACAATTATTAGAAATGATGGTTGATTTAGATGACGATAAAGAATGGTCAACAAAAGACACAATTGAAGACGAGGAAGATGACAGGTGCGTGTTATTAAGTTTAATCATGGCATCACAGTTTAGTAAAACTTAATTGAATTTATTGACCTCTTTGGCTATGAGACAGTAAAAACCCTTTGCTTATAAACACTGATCGAAAAATAAATGCAAAATCTCGAACAGGTGAAGAAGAATGTAGTTATTTGTCAAAACTATTTTTTTTCTGTTGTTTTAGTAATGCTGTTGTTGGTGAAAGTTCTTTGGATCGTCTTGCATGTGCTCTCGGTGGAAAAACAATGTTGCAATATATTCTCTCCGCTGTACAAACGATGTTACAAAACCGTAAGCTTTTAACTATCTTTATTTTGCTATAAATCAAAAGAGCTTTTTTTTTGCAGCTGATTGGCGTTATCGTCATGCCGGTTTGATGGCTTTGTCAGCAACAGGAGAAGGTTGCCATCGTGAAATGTTAAATTTATTAGATGAATTAGTTAGTGGAATATTAGTGTTTTTAAAAGATTCAGTAAGTACAATACAATCTAAAGCTGTGAATAAATTTAGAATTTGATTAAGAAAGAAGTTAGTAGAAAAATAAAAACACAATTATGTTTGCAAATATTTGATCCCTGAAGTTGTTCAAATTCATGAGCAGCGTAATACACAGTAGTATATTAGTCATTCTTCGATCGCTGTTCATGTTTTTTCGCTCTTGAGAAAAGTTGCTTATTTTGAATTTATTCGTTTATGTTTAGCATCCTCGTGTGCGCTATGCAGCATGTAATGCGTTAGGTCAAATGTCTACAGATTTTCAAGGAACATTTCAGAAAAAGTTTCATTCAATGGTAGGTAAAACATTGTTTTTCTTTTTTAGCTTGATAATTAGCTCTTTCTTATTTTTTTTGATGTAGGTGATACCCGGTCTATTATCAGTCTTGGATGATCATGATAATCCTCGTACACAAGCACATGGTGGAGCTGCTTTAGTAAATTTTGCTGAAGATTGCCCACAGCGTCTATTAGTTGAACATTTGCCAATGATCATTGAGAAATTAGATCAAGTATTATCGAGAAAATATCAAGAAGTAAAAGTTACAACAGTTTGAAAAGAAAAGGCATGGGAATAAATTATTGATTTTTCATTCTAGTTATGTACACAAAATCGTAAATTAGTACTCGAACAAATTGTAACAACATTAGCTGCTATTGCCGATACCGTTGCACAAGATTTTTCGCCTTATTATGATAGGTGAGTCACTCTTATTTATGGCGTTTGATAAATCTTAAGTTACCATTGTTTACTATTATTTAGATTTATGCCTCAATTAAAATATCTGTTCAGAAATGCCGTAGCACCCGACTATCGTATGCTAAGAGGTAAAACAATGGAATGTATTAGTCTTATCGGTTTGGCTGTTGGAAAAGAAAAGGTATTTGGATGTGTGTACGATCGATTTCAAGATAACATATATTAGTAAATTTTCTTTCTTATCATATAGTTTATTAATGATTGTTATGAAATAATGCAAGATTTAGTTAAAACACAAGTTGATTTCGAAAATTTGGGCAATGATGATCCGCAAATAGCTTATTTAATTGGTGCTTGGACTAGAATATGTAAAATTTTGGGAAAAGATTTTGAACAATATTTACCAATTGTTATGGGACCTGTATTAAAAGCAGCTGCATTCAAACCAGAAGTGACCGTATTACCTGGTATGATATACTATTATATACCTTATTATTGTATTCGTCGATGAGCAATTTAAGGCACCTAAATAGAATGAAAATTTTTAATGAACAGAATATATTTTGTGATTGAAAATTCGTTTATAGTTGTCTTCATGAGTAAAAATTTTTTAATTACTACAGTTGACAATGATTTTTTTTGTTTAGAAGGTGAAAACGACGTTGAAGAAGACGATAATTGGGAAGTGCTCAATGTTGGTGATCAGGTATGTGGCTATTGTGATATGTATGCGTCAATTCAGCATTATTATCGACACTATCGTCTGGTTTCCAGGCTTTTGGTATTAAAACGAGTGGTTTAGAAGAAAAGTCAAGTGCTTGTAGTATGTTAGTTTGTTATGCACGAGAACTCAAAGAAGGTTTTGTTAATTATGTGGAAGAAACAACAAAATTAATGGTACCATTGTTACGATTCTATTTTCATGAAGGTAAGACATGTATTTTAATCAATATGTAAACAAATTGCCTCTGTCAAGCCATATGATGTAAAGTCGCTGTTTAATAAAGTAGAAAGTAAAATGTTTTCTCTTCGCTTTTGATCTTTATCGCTCCGATTTCTAAAACAATCTATCACCAATAAACGTTGTCCTGTTAACTATTTCTTTCATTCTAGGTGTCCGCGCTGCAGCTGCTGAAGCATTGCCTCATCTATTAGAATGTGCTAAATTACGTGGCGATGATTATGTAAGACAAATGTGGCAATATATGAATAAAGAATTATTTAAAGCAATCGAAATTGAACCCGATCATGAAGTGCTAGGAGAATTATTTTCATCTCTGGGAAAAGTAAGTTAACCACAAAATAGTACTGTTCATGATAGAAAAATAGTTTGTATACATCTTATTTTGGTTGATTTATCTATTTATTGGTTCTATATACATTCATGCTTAGTGTATTGAAGCATTGGGTATGTCATGTTTAACAGCAGACGAATTAAAAGAATTGACAACAATTCTTGATCAACATCTAAAAAAACATTTTGAACGATGTGATGAAAGACAAGAAAAACGACGAGATGAAGATTTTGATGAAGAAGTTGAAGAAGAATTATTAGAAGAAGTGAGTTGTTAAAGATAATGAAGTTTTTTTATTAATTGTACTAACTGTGCGTATTTCTTATCATTTTAGGATGACTTTGATGCTTATATATTGAATCGTTTATCCGATATAATTCATTCATTATTAGTTACTTATTCGGAGTCTTATTTGGTCTATTTTGACTCATTAGTTCCACATTTTTTATCAGTTATTGCAAGTTCACCGAAGTGTATCCGATCGACAATGGGCGCTTTGCGTTTGGGATGATGTTATTCAATATACTGGTCAAGCATCATTTCGTTACCAGCAATATTTTCTACAAAGAATGGCCGAATCAGTTCAGGATGCATCACCAGAAGTATATAGACATAGCTTTGAAACGCGATTTGTTATTTTCAGTTTTAATACTGCAGGTTTTAAAAGATTTCGAAAAGTAGTGTTTTTGTCATCAAAAATGCTTATAAGATATTTTAGTGAACCACACCCTAAGTCTAAATATTCAGAAACAACTCATACATGGTATAGATTTTCAGCTATTGTATTGATGGTCGAGTGCTACGGCATTTCTGAACAGATATTTTAATTGAGGCATAAATCTA